CCCCCCTTTTTTTTTCCCTTGGGGGGTCCCCCCCCCCCCCCCCCCCCCCTTTTTTCCCTTTGGGGGGCCCCCCCCCCCCCCCCACTTTTTTTTTCCCTTTTGGGGGGCCTTTTCCCCCTCCCCACTTTTTTTTTCCCTTTGGGGGGGCCCTTTCCCCCACCCACTTTTTTTTTCCCTTTGGGGGTTTCCTCCCCCCCCCCCCCAACTTTTTTTTTCCCCTTGGGTGTTTCCTCCTCCCCCCCCCCACCTTTTTTTTCCCCTTTGCTGTGCCCTCTCCCCTCTGCTGCCGGGTGGTCCGGCACTCACGGGCGCGGGGGTACCCGTGCCGACGACATGCCACCCCCCTCCCCCACAGGGGCTGGTCCTCTCCTGCCACATGGGGAATGCGCAGGCGACCGCCCTCGTCTCGCAAGCCGGCGCCTCCGAGGAGAAGTCTGCAGCCGAGTCCCGCGCCCAGTCCCTGCTCGAGCACGTCCAGATCGCGCAGTCCTGCACGCACATGCTCTCCCTGGTGCGCCTCTCCCCCCACACGGCGGTGGCGGCGGCGGCGGCGGCGGCGGCGGTGGTTGCGTATCGCTTCGCCCCCACCCGCCGCTGTGCGCGTGTCGCCCCCCCCCCCCCCACCCACCCCCGCGCGTCCCCGCCACGCAGGTCGTCTCCAACATGTGGGAGCTCGACCAGGCGGGCGGACACTTCCCAGACACCTCCCAGACACCTCCCAGACATGTGGGAGCTCGACCAGGCGGGCGGACACTTCCCAGACACCTCCTAGACACCTCCCAGACATGTGGGAGCTCGACCAGGCGGGCGGACACTTCCCAGACACCTCCTAGACACCTCCCAGACATGTGGGAGCTCGGCCAGGCGGGCGGACACTTCCCAGACACCTCCCAGACACTTCCCAGACATGTGGGAGCTCGGCCAGGCGGGCGGACACTTCCCAGACACCTCCCAGACACTTCCCAGACATGTGGGAGCTCGGCCAGGCGGGCGAGGGCAAGCAGCAGGCGGGCGGAGGCAACGAGGCGCTGCTGATGCCCTCCTTCGCCGAGGAGGAGGTGGACCTGGTCACAGAGATCGAGCGCACCGTCGGGCTGCTGCTCGCCTCGCCGACCGCAAAGGCGGAGGTCAAGCTCAAGTCGTGCTTCGACCCCCGCCTGCCGCATGTGTGCCTCGCAACTTCCTAGACACTTCCTAGACACTTCCTATTCGACCCCCGCCTGCCGCATGTGTGCCTCGCAACTTCCTAGACACTTCCTACTTCCTAGACACTTCCTATTCGACCCTCGCCTGCCGCATGTGTGCCTCGCAACTTCCTAGACACTTCCTAGACACTTCCTATTCGACCCCCGCCTGCCGCATGTGTGCCTCGCAACTTCCTAGACACTTCCTAGACACTTCCTATTCGACCCTCGCCTGCCGCATGTGTGCGGCTCGCAACGTCCATCACACCATCCCCCCTCCATCACACCACCACACATCACACCATCACACCATCACACCATCACACCACCTCGCGGCGGTCGCTAGGAGCCTTCCGTGAGCCTTCCAGGGACCTTCTGGTAGGTGCGGGTCGACGCCTCGCGGCTGATGCGCGCCCTGCTCAACCTCCTCACAAACGCGATCAAGTTCACCACCTCGGGCGCGGGCGGCGTCCTGGGCGGGGGCTTGTGTGGAGAAGCGCCCCTCACACACGCCCCCGCTTGCGAGCAGGCTCGGTCACGATCTCGGTCAAGCTGCTCAGCGAGCCGCCTCCCGTCGGAGGGCTGTGCGAGGCGCACTTCGAGGTCGCAGACACCGGCCGGGGCGCGCAAGCTCGGCTCCAACCGGCCGGCGCAGCGGCGCCCTCCCGAGCCAACCCCCGCCGCCCGTCTCCGCCGCCCCGCAGGGATGGAGGCCGAGGAGCTGCAGCGCGCCACGCACCCGTACTCGCGCTCCTCGACGGCGGAGGGCGGCGGGATGGGGCTCGGGCTCGCCATCGCCGCGAAGGCGGTCGCCCGGGGAGCGGCGGGCGGGCGGCGCGGGGACGGCGCGTCCTGACGGCTGCAGCTGTGAGCAGGCGGTGGCCGAGCTCGGCGGCAAGCTCGAGCTGCGCAGCGAGGGCCTCGGCTGCGGCACGAGCTGCTCCTTCTCCGTGCGGATGCAGCGGGGCGGCTCGACCTGCTCCGGCTCGCGCGGCTCGTCCGAGTCGCTCGAGGTGAGCCCGCCGGCGGCGGGGCGCCGCTTGCGCGTGATGCTTGTCGACGACTCCGAGCTGCTGCTGAAGAGCGTGTCGGAGGTGATCGCCTACTTCGGGCACACCATCTCGCACACCGCCGCCGACGGGGAGGCGGCGCTACAGCTGCTGCGCGCCCACTCGCACGAGATCGACGTCGCCTTCGTCGACATCAACATGCCCCTCATGCGCGGCGACGAGGCGATCCGGAGGCGCCGCCCGCGGGAGCTGCTGCCCCGCTCACCCTCCCCGCGGGCTCCCCTGACGCCCGGCTCGAGGCGCGCGCAGGTACCGCGAGTGGGAGCGAGGCCACGCGCGGCCGCGGCTGCGCGCGTATGCGATGAGCGGGGACACGAACGCCGCGATGAGCAAGCAGCTCCGTGTGGACGGCTTCGACGGAATCCTCGCCAAGCCCGTCTACCCGCTCGCTTTCTCCCGGATATGCGAGGAGGTGTTTGCGGCGCTGCCCGCCGCGGGAGCCGCGCCGCCGCCCGCCTCGCCCCCGCGGGTCGTGCCAGCCACCCTCTCCGAGGCCCCGCGAGGCGTGCCAGCCACCCTCTCCGAGGCCGTCGGCCGCGGCGCAGCCGCGCGCGCACCCGCCACCGGCCTGGCCGCCGCGCCCGCCGCGCCCGCCGCGGGCTCCTCCACGCTCGCCTCTGGCTCTGCGAGCGTGTCAGCGAGCGGGGCTGCGAGCGGGGCGGCTTGTGAGACGGAGGCGGAGATGCTCGCCGCGCTGCCCGACTCGGTCTTCAACGCGCGCGACTTTGTGGCGGTGATTGGCATCCCGAAGGACACCGCGGCCGCGCTGGTGGTTCAGATGGACCTCTCCCTGGGCAGGGGCATGGAAAGCATGGTCGAGGCGGAGGGGGCGCCTTGGGACGAGGCCGGCACGCAGAGCGTCATGGGAATCGCTCACACCGCCAAGGGGAACGCGCTGCAGGTGTGCGCCTCGCGCCTGGCTGCCGCCTCGGAGACGCTCGAGATCCTTGCGGCGGGCGGCAAGAGCGAGCGCGCGAGCGCCGCCCTGGCGGTGTGGCGCAAGACGGCCGAGGAGTTCCGCCACTTTGTCAGATGCAACCCCACGCTCGAGGACCTCTTCGAATGAGCGCCGGGCGTGTGCATCGTGCCCCGCCCTGCGGATTGTACACTGCTACACACAGCCGGGCACCAGGGAGCAGGGTGCAGGCTGCAGGGTTGGAACGGCGGGCAAGCAGCAAGCTAGCGTCCGAGCCGCACCGTGTCTTCTCGAACACGCCCACGCATTCCACCTGTGCTGTCTCTTTGTTGCATACATGTATTTCTTTCGTAGATCGGTAGGTAGGCCCCGCCCCTCTTTTCGGAGTAAGTAAGAAATGTCGCGTCCCCACACCGGCGCGAAGCCCGGAGCCCACGCGATTGCTCTGTCAAAAGGCTGTCCAGCCCACACTCTGCGCTGTCTGAGAGATGCTCGCACTCTATGCGACTTTCTCGCGCCACCACCCACCCTACGTACCGCTGTGTGAGCAGCTCCCGGCGGGACCTCGAGGGACCGCACGCGCACCCGCGCGGCGCGGGGCCCAGCCCACAGCCACGATCGTTCACAGAGAACGCACCCCAGAGTACGAGAGACCCTTCCCCATGGCTGCCACTGCGCCCAGCTGTCCTTGCGCGCGGGCTAGGCCACCTCCCGCGCCCTGGCCCTCGCAGCGGCACCTGACGCGCGCCTCGCCTTGGCTGCGGCGAGCGCCGCCTCTGCCGCCGCGACTGCCGCCTCCTCCGCCTCCTCCTCCGCTGCGGCAGCCTCCTCCTCCTCTGCCGCTGCCACAGCTGCAGCCTCCGCCGCAGCCTGCCGGCGCGCCTCCGCTGCCGCCTCCTCGCCCTCCTCCTCGCCCTCTTCCTCGCCCCCCTCCTCGCCCTCCTCCTCGGCCGCCTCCGCCGTCTCCTCGTCGCCCTCCTCCTCGCTCGCCTCGCCCGCCGCCTCGGTCTCTCCCAGCGCCTCTGCCAGCCCCGCGACCGACGTCTCCGGCGTGATGCCGAACCGGATCCTGTCCTCGTGGAGCTCCGCGAGAAGCCGGAGCAGCCCCTCCCTGTCCAACGGCGCGGGCTTGGCTGCGGCTGCGACGGCCCAGCGCCGCCGCTCCCGCCGCCCTTCTTCTTCTTGTTCTTGCCCTTCTTGCCCTTGGCGCGCTTCTCCGCCTCGACCTCCGCCAGCAGTTCCTCGGCGTGCCGCGCCGCCTCCTTCTCTTCCGCCGCCCTCTGCGCCTCCCTCTCCGCCGCCCCCGCAGCCCACGCCGCCTCTTTCGCCGCCTTCTCGGCCGCCGCCTCGGCCACCGCACGCTCCTCGAGGACGCGCACGCACTCGGCGTGGAGCCCAAAATTTGACGATTTCCACGGAGTTTTCCCGGGAAAAGAGAGAGGAAAAGAGAGGGTGTTGTAGAGAAAAAAGGAAAGGAAAACAGACGGGGTGCGAGAGGAAAACCTTATACAGCCTAACGGTAACGCCGCCCGCGCCCGTCCGCCGTCCTGCCGCCGTCGAATTCATCGGGACACGGGACGCGGGCGGCGGGGGCTCTCTCGGCTGCGGACGGCCTACGGGACCGGCCCCAGCTTCGGCTGAGGGCTGAGGTAGTGGTAGTGGTAGAGCCCGACAAGCTGCCGAGCCCGAAGGAGGTGGGGTCCTCCTCCTCACACCCGCCGTCACCCCGGCGGCCCGCGCACGCACGCCGTCTGAGCCTAGCGCAGCGCGAACTCGCTCTGAGCCTAGCGCAGCGCGAGATTTGCGCAGCAACCCGGCCGGGCAACCTTTAAAAATACGCCCTTTTTCTTTTCGCCCGAGGAGACTTCCCAAACGGAGCTCACCACCCACGTCCCGCTACCTTTGCTCTGAAGGCACCCTTATTCTGCTGTGCTAGTAGAAGCCGGCCACACCTCCCGATTTGACCGCCCACTCGCACCTTCTCGAGATGGTCGCGACAGCCGACCTTCTCAACACCTTCTGTGGCATGCAAACGCTCGCCTTTCCGCCGCCTTCTTCCGCCGCCCACGCCGCCGCGGCCTCTTGCTGCCCTTGAATTTCCGCGCGGAAGGCCGCCGCCCCCTGTGTAGACGCCGACTCCGACGTCTGCCGTCCCCACCGTGACCCCGCCGCCCCACTGCCGCCGCGCCCGTCTTCCCCGCCGACGTCCCCGTCCCCGTCCGCACAGGATGGTGCTCCCTCCCGTCTCCGAGAAGAAGTTCACCAAGGACTTCCCCAAGCTCAAGATTTGCGTGACTGGCGCGGGCGGCTTCATCGCGTCGCACCTCGCGAAGCGCCTCAAGGAGGAGGGCCACTGGATCCGCGCGGTCGACTGGAAGGAGAACGAGTACATGAAGGAGGGCACCTTCTGTGACGAGTTCCTCAACCTTGACCTGCGGCTAGCTGAGAACTGCAAGCCCGCGTGCGAGGGCATGGACTGGGTCTTCAACCTCGCGGTGCGCGCCCCGCTCACCGCAACAGGAGCGTGCGGACTGCAGCGGTAGCCTTAGCTGCCGGCGTGGGTACAGGCGGACATGGGCGGCATGGGCTTCATCCAGTCGAACCACTCGCGCATCCTGTACAACTCGACCATGATCAGCTTCAACGTGCGTCATGCGCCACCCTCCGCCACCCCTGTCACCGTTGCCTCCCCCCCATCCCATCCCCACCCCCTTCGCCACCATGCTGGGGACGCCGGCCACACCCGACCAGACGCCAGGCTGTCACAATCGCCACCGCCTTCACCGTCACCACACGCGCGCAGCGCCCTGTCCGACCTCTGCACGACGTGCGCGCTGCAGCACCAATCCCCGCGCCGGCGGCCCGTGACAGGTTGCCGAGGCGGCGCGTGTCGCGGGCGTCAAGCGCTTCTGGTATGCGTCCTCGGCCTGCATCTACCCGGAGCACAAGCAGCTCACCGAGGACCTCGACGGCGCGACACACACCGCATAGACACGGCAACGACGCTGCCGTCGCACACAAGACGGTACTCACCTGCGGTACTCCCCAGACGGCCACCTCTGACCAGACCTCGCTGGTCCGGCGCAGCGTGCTTGCCCCGCCGCGTGTAGCAACCACTTGCCACTCTGCCGGTGCACACCAAGCTTTCCCCCCCTGCAACTGCCTCTGCACTTGCTGCCGTGTCAACCTCCACAGCCACCTCCTGCCCCCTCCGCTGGCGCATCCACGGACGTCGCGCGAGCGCCTCACAAGGCGCGCCCCCTCCTGCTCCTGCCGGCTGACGCCCGCCGCTGCACTCGGCCTCAGGCGCGAGCGGGCTCAAGGAGGACGACGCGTGGCCCGCGCAGCCGCAGGCTCGTCGGGATGCGGACACCTCCCACCACGCATCACCTCCCAGCGCCAGTGCCCGCGAGACCGCCCCGCCTCCTGCCTCGCAGCCACCAGCTTGCCACTCCGTCGCGGCTGCCGCCGCCGCCGCCGCCGCCCCGTGACGATCTTCTTGTGTGGAGAGCCCGCGACACGCCTCGCTCGCCTCCACGCCCCGCCCACCCACAGCACGAGCACGGCGTGCCGCACGCTGTCTGCAGGACGCCTACGGCCTCGAGAAGCTGATGACCGAGGAGCTGCTCATGCACTATGACACCGACTTTGGCATGGAGGCGAGACACTTCCTAGACACTTCCTAGACACTTCCTAGACAGTTTGGAGGCACGCGCCGCCCGACCCTTGCACGCCCCGCCGCTCGGCCCCACGCCCCCTCGCTGCGCCGCGCGTGCAGGCGCGCATCGGCCGCTTCCACAACATCTACGGCCCGTTCGGCACTTGGAAGGGAGGGCGCGAAAAGGCGCCCGCCGCATTTTGCCGCAAGGTGTCGCCCCCCCCCCCCCCCCTTTGCTCGGCCGCCGCATGGTTTGTGTGGCCGCACACATCTTTGAGCGTCCGCTCCGCGCAGGGCATCACAGCGACGAGCGAGTTCGAGATGTGGGGCAACGGGAAGCAGACGCGCTCCTTCTGCTACATTGACGACGCCGTCGAGGGCATCATCCGGCTGATGGTGTCCGACTACAAGAAGCCGCTCAACATTGGCTCGGACGAGCAGGTCCGACCCCCCTTCCCAGAGCCCGAGCACCCACCGGGCCCCTTCCCAGAGCCCCTGGTAGCGGCTAGTCATAGGCCTCGCCACGCCGCCCTTGGAACTTGTAGCTTTGGGTTCGGCTGAGGCCCCTCCTCGTCTCCGCCAGGTCTCCATGAACGAGATGGCCGAGATGGTCATGGAGATCGGCAACAAGAAGCTGCCGATCAACCATATCCCGGGCCCCGAGGGCGTTCGTGGCCGCAACTCGGACAACACGCTCATCAAGCAGGCGAGCTAGCCACCAGCCACGAGGCACTGCGGAGAGCTAGCCACCGCCACGAGGCACTGCGGAGAGCTAGCCACCAGCCACGAGGCACTGCGGAGAGCTAGCCACCAGCCACGAGGCACTGCGGAAAGGGCGGGCGGGGGGGCGGGGGGGGGGGGGGGGGGAAACCCCAACCAAAAGGGG